AAAAGTCTCTAGATTTGGCGCTAGGAGCTTTTTAGAAATCAAAGTGCTAGAGGGGTCTGAAAAGTGGCTAAATATAGCGACTAAAGCGCTAAGTTGGCAACACTGCTCTTTGCATGGTTTGTTTTCAAATGGTTTGCTGCTGTCTGTTTGGACCTGCAGGGCGCCTCCATCATGTCCTTGTTCACCCACCTGTTGGCGGTCCTCTTCGGGATGGGCTCCTGGGTCTCCATCAACGGGCTCTGGGTGGAGCTGCCTCTCATCGTCCCTCAGATCCCAGAGGGATGGTACCTTCCCTCTTACCTCTCCGTCCTGATCCAGATGGCCAACGTGGGGCCGCTCTTCGTCACCCTGATGCACCGCTTCCAGCCGGGCGTCCTGAATGAGGCGGCTGTCGTTTACGCCATCATCGTTCTTGGAGCTGCGGCCAGCTTCCTGCTGGGTTTCTTCTGGAAAGAGACGGTGCTGATCGCAGGCGTTCCCCGCAGTCTGGCCCTTCTGGTATTGACCTTCTTCCTCGCCGCCGTCGACTGCACCTCCTCCGTCACCTTCCTGCCCTTCATGATGCGCCTGCAGCCTCAGTATCTGACCACGTACTTCATCGGCGAGGGTGTGAGCGGCCTGCTGCCGGCTCTGGTGGCTCTGATCCAGGGTGTGGGGGTGGTGCACTGCATCAACACCACGCAGTCGCTCAACCACACCCTCAACGCCTCCATCGGGTCAGGAAACGGCGACCTGCAGGCCCAGTACCAGCCGTCCAACTTCTCCGCCGAGATCTTCTTCTTCTTCCTCAGCGCCATGATGCTGGTGTGTCTGGTCTCTTTCCTGCTGCTGAACCACCACCCTGCGGTCGCCAGGGAGCATCCCGCCCCGCGGTACACCAACGGGACGAAGGAGACCTCGGAGAGGAGGACGCGGGCCGAGCAGAGACCCATGATGGATCCGTTCAGGCATCAGAACCACAATCCCCGAAGCAGCTTTGGGAGCGGCTCGTACAGCTGGATGCAGGTGCTTTATATCTTCGTGGTTCTGGCCTGGGTGAACGCTCTGAGCAACACGGTCCTCCCATCCGTCCAGTCCTACTCCTGCCTGCCGTACGGAAACAACGCCTACCACCTGTCAGCCACGCTGGCCGCCGTGGCCAACCCGCTGGCCTGCTTCATCGCCATGTTCGTCTCTATCAGGTCAGCGAGAATCATCTTTTTCCTGTTGCTGGGCAGGAGAACCAGAGACCTGAAACAGTAAACAGATGTGATTCTGCAGGTCGCTGGTGTTCCTGGGGTTCCTGACGGTTCTGGGCTCGGCGATCGGGTCATACATCATGTTGGCGGCGGCGCTGAGCCCCTGCCCCCTGCTGGTTAACCAGACTTCAGGTTCAGCCGTCATAGTGAGTCCACCTCTTTCCTCTGTCTGAAAGTTTCCCACTAAATCCTAACGGTCCGTCCGTCTGCTCCGCAGGTTCTGGCCTGGATCCTCTTCATCCTGTCCCTGTCCTACGTGAAGGTCATCATCGGGATGATCCTGCGAGACGAAGGCCACAGCGCCCTGGTGTGGTGTGGAGCGGTGGTGCAGCTGGGCTCCCTGCTGGGGGCCGTCACCATGTTCCCTCTGGTCAGCGTTTACGCCGTGTTTTCAGCAGGAGATCCGTGCAACACCAGCTGCCCCTGAGGTCACCCTCCGCTCGGTTTACACCGACCCGAAAGTTCTGCTGTTTCCCACTGAGATTCCTGTGACCTGAACGCATCATTCCAGTCCCTCTGGTCCAGAAGATGTTTGCTGTTATTTCAGCTCCATTTACCTGCTCAGGTAGCAGGATAAGGACGGGGGGGTGTGGTTTATTCTGAGGAGACAGCATGGGCGTAGGTTTGCATAGGGACCATAGGGACATGTCCCTACCAAGATTTTGGACCGAACTATTTGTCGATTTGAATAACTTGTTTATAATTAAAAATTCAGCATGGTGGATCACACACAGCTCCGCTCCATCTGAGTCCTGTCCCTTAAATCAGTAACTGGTGTTTAACTCCACTCTCATTGGTTGTTCGGCCTCAAGTTCCGCCTTCCCTTTTCCTGATTGGCTGTTTTCTAGTCCGTATGAGCGTATGCATGCTTGGAGCACGAAATAAGAATTTTATTTACGCTACTTCAAATAATATTAGGGTACGAAAAAAAAATGTATTCTATCTACACTAAAATAGGTGAAAGCTGCTGATTGCTGATTCTTAGTCACAGCCGACTGAAAAAGAAAATATGAGGGTTTCCCTTTTAACAATAATTCATTGCAATTACTGTTTTCATTTTATGACGACCCTTTGAGGCAGTTCAGCTATAAATAGCAGTTGTTATTTCTTTTATAGAGTATAAAAACATGAGATGGTGCCTTAACATCTGATATTTTTTGTTTAGAAAATAGAATTGCGGTTCTACATAATATTGATATTTCTTTGGCTATTTCTACTTTTAAAAATGGGATAAAGCCAATAACAAACATAGGAACACTATTTATATCGATTTTATTTTACATAGATGTCCACACAGTCCATAAGTTAATTATTACAAACATTAGTGTTTGGTAAAAAAAAAAAAAACAGCATCTAGTATCAAAAAATGCTGCTTTTCTCTTTAAACCAAATACACCCTGATGCTCACTTCAAGCATAAAAACCCATGCACATTTTTGCATGGGTAAAATGACATTAATGAAACTTAGGAGGAATAGTGTCCCTACCAAACTGGAAATCAAACCTACGCCCTCAGGGTTCTACCACAGTGGAGGTTTCAGGGTGGGGGCCTGTATAAGTCCACTTTTTCTACATTAAAATAATTGGCTGACTTCCTGACTATAAAAAAAAATCACTCCTATTTTTATTCCCCTCAAGGAAAGAAAACAGCTTAATTTGGCGCCTTTGAACTCTGCTCATGTTTTGTAAATCCTTAAAGTCGTAGGGAAGCGGCCGTTCCAATCGTTGCATTACCGAATTCTCCCAGTGGTTCCCGACTTTACATTAGTGAATAAAGTGAATGTGATTGGTCGATTATCAAGGGGGCGGGATGGTTGTGGCAGAAGGATCGCAAGCAAGTTTGGTTGTTGCTGGTTTGTTGGAAGCATCTTGCTAACCAGTTAGCAACTAGTAGGTTCCCAATGGGAAATTCCATTGGAACCAAGTAGCTAACTGGTTAGCTAACTAAGTTGCTAACCAGTTAGCAACTTAGTGGCTAACCAGTTAGCAACTTAGCGCTAGCAGGTTCCCAATGGGAAATTCCATTGGAACCAAGTAGCACTAAGTGGCTAACCAGTTAGCAACTTAGCGCTAGCAGGTTCCCAATGGGAAATTCCATTGGAACCAAGTAGCACTAAGTGGCTAACCAGTTAGCCACTTAGTGCTAGCAGGTTCCCAATGGGAAATTCCATTGGAACCAAGTAGCACTAAGTGGCTAACCAGTTAGCCACTTAGTGCTAGCAGGTTCCC